TATACTTTGTGTCTCATATATGTGTCTGATTTGTTTCACTTAAGGCTATGGTCTCAAGATGCATTCATTTTTATACAAATCACTTAAATGTATTCTTCTTTATAGCTGAATACTACCCCATTATATATTTATACATTTTCTTTATCCATTTATCTATTAGCTACTGTGACTTGTGCTACTATAAACATGGATAAGCATGCATCACTGTAATACAATGACTTTAACTCTTTCAAAAAGCTTTCTAGAAGGTGCGGAGTGGTGCCAAGTAAAATTTCTGCTTTTAGCCTTTTGAGGAGTCTGTACACCGATTCCTATGGTGGTTTTACTCAGTTACATTCCCACCAGCAATGCAGAAGGGTTCCTTTTCTCTCCACAACCTGAGCGGCATTTTTGTTTCACTCCCAGATGATAGACAGCCATTCTTACTGGAATAAAACGGAACTCATTATTGTTGCGATTTGAGTTTTTCTAATGACCAAAGATGCTGAGTTTTTTAATGTACTTATTGTGCATTTGCACTTCTTTGAGCAGTATCTATTCATCCCCATTGCCCATTTTGACTTGATCTTGTCTTTTGTCTGGTCTTGGTCTTGGCCTTTTGGGGGTCTAATTTTTGGAGATTTTGATATGTAGTCTGGGTATTATTTCTCTGTCCGAGTAATGCTGGAAAACATTTTTCCCATTCTGTACATTGCATCTTCACCCTATTGGTTGTTCCCTCTGCTGTATGAAAGCCTTTCATTTTAACATAATCTCATGTGTTGATTCTTGATATACATTTTTTCTTACACTATTGGGGTTCTGTTCAGAAAGTCCTTGCCTATGCCTATGTCCTCAAGAGTCTTACTTATTTTATCTTCCAGCAGAGTCCATTTTTTCTGTTTCCATGTTTAGAGCTTTGAACATTTTTGATTTGATTTTAATACAGGGTGAGACATGTGTTTGTACATTTCTTCTTTTCCATATGGATCATCATTTTTCCCAGCACCATGCAACTTTTTTTTCTGCAGGATATGTACATTTTCGTATGTGCTTTGTCAAAAATCAAATGGCTAAAGCTGCACAAGTGCACTTAGTTCTTATACCAATACAGTGTGGTGAATTTTATTAGCTCACTTTTATGTATGAAAGTGTCAAGGATCAAGATGGTATGGTATCTTTACCAGTGTCACATAGGTAGAAAGCCACACTCACTAGACCCTTCTGAATTTCAAGCCCACTTTTCAAGAATTATGCTAACATCAGCACGATTATCTTTCACCTCTTATTCATGTAATCCCCTGCTTCATTTCAACCAATTTGTTCCGAAAATGTCAACTGTGAGAGTTCACATGTTAGTTTATGTATTACTACTAATTTCTGTCTAGCTGGCCTGTTATCTAAAGACCTCTGGTAAGATCCTTAAATTTATTGGTAACATATTAAAGGGTAGTTTATAATTGGTTTGTGTTCAAGAGCCGTTTCCCCAGAGTTGGTGATCCCATTCCAAGACTGCATCCTTAGAGATTTAAGATAAAAAACTAATTGATTTCAGAATGCTCATGTCTTTATGTTTTTTTTCCTCACATATTGATTTTTTTTTTACATCACAGAAGCCATCTGCCTCTCAGCTATAGAAGTCTGCCCATTAATAATAAATTCTATACTGTACTTCCGTTATTACTCTTATGAGTTCCTGCAACATGATATGTGGCTTAAAAAAAAGAAAAGTTAAATTTAGCTATAATGACTTTTTGTTTGCTAGTATTTATTATAGATTAATGGCTAGTCTCAAAGTGGTCTCGGATGGCAAATAAGTAATTTACTTTCAAAGTATAGGCTAGAGAGCCAATAAATAAGAGTACTCTAACCTTATTTCATTAAAGCTCTTGCTCCAAGAAAACTTTCTAAAATGAGGATAAGGGTCGGGGATATAGCTCAGCGGCACAGTGCCTGTCTGGCCAGTACAGGGTGGTGAGTTTGATTCTCAGTACAACAAAAAAATGAGGATAAATGCAAAAAATGTTATGTTAGATTTCCTTGTTTTAATAATCTTAACTGTTCAATAAACTTAGTAGAGTCTAATGAAAATTTATTGGGACTGAACTTCTGAAAAATTGTGAGGATTATATATATATATAATATACAGTGAATCATAGTAAAAGACACATTACCATTAATTCCGCTCAAAAATTTTCCCCTCAATAAAACAAACAACCAAACAAAAGTTTCCCCTCACTTTGAATAACTTATCCAGTCATCCTTGTCTCTCTCATTCTGAAGCATTGTGGAAGTTTTTTCCCTCCTAAGTGCATTTAGGAGTTGTGATCCAAAATTAAGTGCAAGTGGTTGGTGAGTGACACGCAGTGGAAAGGCAGACTTGTGGTATAGTGCCCCACCTTCTTCACCAGATCTGCCTCTGGCATTGTACAGCTTCTGGTTCTTCGACAAATTCAAAACAATCTTGAAACATGAGCACTTTCAATTAATCCAGCACATCAAGGTAATCATGAAGAGACAGGAAAGAGAACATCCAGATTTGCTTCAGAAAGTGAAAAGAAATGGTGAGTGTATTCAAAATGAGGGGGAAATTTTTGAAGGGAATAAATGGCAATGTGCCTTCTACTGTAATGATGTTTTGAATTTAATAATTCATTATAGTTTTTCCAAATACACTTTGTATTTTTAAACTGAAAATTATAAACTATTATTCAGTCAAAAAATTATCCAAAAAAAAATATAGAGGTGGTTTGTTTTAAGACAAAGTTCAGCAGAAATTTTCCATCATACGCACCATGTGGGGATGATTGAAAATAGGAACATAATCATTCTTTTATTTGTTTGGGGCAGTGCTAACTAGCACAGTGCATGATACCTTCAAGTCATCTGCATCTACAGCTCCCACAGCGTTCTCTATAAGTTACTACGAAGCTATGATTATGTGCAGAGTTCCAATGATAATGTAATGTATATGTGTGTACATAAACACATATGTCTAATAACATCTAACTGGGGAAATACAGTTATTGTTAGAAAAAGTGAAATGGTATATAAAAGATTTAAACCTTTCTTTAAAAGTTCTATATTCAGAACAGTATACCCATATACAGTTCCCATAGCTCCATGACAAGTTTCAGAGACAAACAATTCATGGAAGTGTACAGAATATACACCCCAGGTAGCTGTACTTTTATCTACATAAATATGTTCCATAAAATTTATATGAGGTGATGCCAAATAACTAATTTATTTTTAGGATAAGGAATTTGTTTTATAATAATTTTTTTAAGACATGATATTTTACACATTTATGTAAGTAACCACTGAAATCCACAATAAACTCATGATTATTTTTTCAGCTATAGTTTGGATTACCTATGTTAATGAAAATTTTTTTTTAAATCTAGAAAGTCAGCTACATTGCCTCATTTTAAATTCTGACAAGAGTCAAGATTTAACTAGAAAAATATATATAATGCATGACATTTTATATTGCTTACTATATGCCAGGCACTGGTTGGGAAGCTTCATTATTAACGTACTCAAAAGGAAAAGGAAAATAATCTGTTTCAACATCAGCCAAGTCATTTTAGCAACCATGAAGTTGCTATATAAATAACTGGCCACAGATTGGATCTACTCGGTTTGCTGTTCACCTGCTATTGGTGGTGAAAACATAGCTGTGATACCACCCTCACAGAAGAGTGAAAAGTACTTGCTTTTGGAAATATATTGAGTGTGAGGACACTTTTAAGTGTCATTGGGATTTTCACTGACATTAAAATTTGTTCAAGCGTCTGGTTATGATACACATGCTAGTTTTTAATGAGCTTTCTTCTTGCTGTACCACCATAATGTCAGCAGAAGGAATGTGGGTGAATTTATGTCTTCCTATCAAATCAGTTAAAAGAGACATGACTGGCTACTTCTACACACTAGAAATTTAAAAGAAAAACTTAACCTTAATGGCTCCACCATGAAAATGAATAGGTAGGGCATATATCAACTCTTTTATTCTGTCTTAATAGTGACAAACTGCTTTGGAATATATTCCACAAGAAACTGGATATATAATTAACTTCTGATTGAGATACACCTTACATGTTAACTAAGATATATGGTAATTATTTTGTATGTAGCTTGACTCATGAAGTCAGTTGTAGGGCCAGGGATATAGCTCAGTGGCACAAGCACCTGCCTAGCAAGGGCAAGGTCCTGAGTTTGAATCCCTGTACCAAAAAAAAAAAAAAAAGAAAAATCAGTTGTATCTATAAAATGAGATAAAATATTAATGTAACAATCATATCATATGACTACCTTTCAGTACATAAACTGCATTTATTATGTAGGCTTTATTTTAAGTCCTGGGAATTAAACTCAGGCCTTCACACACAGCTATAGCCCCAGTAAATTTTTATTTATTTTTATTTTGAGACAAGGTCTCACTAAGTTGGTTTATTTCAAAATTGGGTTCTTCCTAGCTCGGCCTCCCAAAGTGATGTGATTATCGGCACTGTTAGTCATAATAAAAATACGGATCTTGTCAATGCTTAAACTGCCAATACCTTCCATTATCTCAAAGCTAATGCTCACAAATGATTTATAATGATTTTGAGAGTTAGTGATACTGATGTTCCTTCAGAGTGTATATGTTCCCAGTTCTTTTGCTCAACTTCAGTGTAAAAGGGCTTTGTTTTTACTAACAAAAACTATGAATGCTATTATTTTCAAGCTAAAACATGTGATTTTGAAACAAATAAACCAATGGATAAGAATGTTCGAAATGTAAGGTATTAAATTTTAATTGAGACTGTATTAGATATAAAATAGCTCATCATCTAGATACATACCATAATAGATGATGAAATATTCATGTATAATCCTTAGGAGAGTATTATAAATAGGTTACTAGGTTTCATGCACTCTGTGGCACACCTTGGGCTTTCCAGACCCTTGTTATTTGCTGAATAAGATTTGGATATGATTCAGTCAACAGGCAATAAATTTTTCTTAATAGCAATTTTTATAGATTTCATGTCATAAGTGATTCCATCCATAGATACATTGGCTAGTGAGGTTTCTGCAAGGCCAAACTGTGGGATGGCAAAAGTCATTTACCAGGTCATCAAGAGGCTATCCAGTATGGACCTAAGAAAATATGAACTATCATTAGATTCCCAGGTTTTGAATTTGTTCCTATTGTATGTTGAAGTATAATAATCTATTTCTCTATTTTTCCATCTGTAAAATGGGGATAATCCCAAAACCTATCTCTCTGAAACATCCTGATATGAACATTTAATGATTCAAGGATTTTAAATAGTAATCAATAACTAAGGTACTTAGTATTAAATGATAAATTTAGAAAGGCAGTACCTAATTTATGCTGTAAGAAAAAAACTTTTCAGGTGAAATATGATCACATTTTGAACAGATATCAAATACAGGTTAGTGATTTTTGACTCTTATCAATGATCCACACTAAATTAATCATTTCAATGGATAAATACCACTCCTGTCTCTGAGTCAAATTTTAAAATGCATTCTTCTACCCATCCATCTCTTCCCTCAGCTCTTCTTCCCACATATGTAGTGTGTCTTCATTCTATGCCATCTGTCTTCACCTTGAAAAAGTGAGATTTTGTGCTTCAGTGTACCATCTGATTATCATTTTTACATAAAACTTAAATTACACTTTAAGGTGATCTAGTCTAACAATATTAGGTGATGTCATTTTCCATGATCTGAACTTTCACTTTTCAAGTGAGCACCTACAGCTAATTGAACGCTGAGACACTCATACCAACAACTATGCAAATATAGCTTTATAAAAAAAATTGCTTTGCATTGAGAACCACCACAAGACCAAAAATGCCTGCCCCTTCTGCTTCCTGCCAAAGTGCAACTTCTTAGCACTGGGCAGCAAAATGTCAAAGCACAAAGAATTTCAATCTGCTTCTCAACATTTTCAATGTATCAACCTTTCTAAGATGAGGAAAGTAAAATTTACACGGGCTCTTGAGTTAATCTAAATTCTTTTACATGTCTAAATATATAGTTATCAAATGCCTTATGTTTATTACACTTAGGTAATTGTTAAGCAAATCTATTATGTGCCAATTAAAACTAAAATTTAAAAAATTAAAATAAAAAGCTAAATTAATGTACATATTATCACATAATTTTTTAAGAAAAATGTAACATAAATCATATTTTACTCAAACTAATTTGACAATGTTTGAGTTGGTAGCAAACATATATCTACATGTGGTTAAAATATTAAAGGTGAAGCATAATTAACTTTTTGAACTTTAAACTAGAATTCAATAATGTCTGTTAATATCATCGTTACTAATTATTCTTGTAATTATATAAAATTCAAACTAGCACTTTAATTCCATAATAATGTATAATATATGTGTTATATTACGTAACATTCTCTTGTAAAGAGATCATTTTCATTGAATGAGATCACTCCGATTTTGAGTTTGTTTCTATGTTTTATCAAATATAATCCAAGGAAGATCGGTGAATTACTCTAACGTTTCCTCATCTGCAAGTAATAATTGCTACTTGAAGAAACTGTGAGGCTTATAATACTTAGTTAACACATAAAACTTCAGCCCAGCTGTATTTAGCAGAAACTCAATAGCTATTAGTAACAATCACTTGTGTCCCTTTGAATTAAAAAATATTTGTCATACATTATATTATAAAATTATATTTCTATAAAAACTTATAGTATATTGGCTTGCAAATTTGCTGTATTTCTCGAAAAAGGAAAGGTACTTTTTTAGGAGCTATGTGAACATAACGGGCAGTTTTCCTAGGTGAATATTGAGGAGAGTGATTACAGAAGTCATACATTAAAAATGAATAACTTTAAATAGAACAATAATTTGCTTTTCAATGTTCAAGTAATTTCTCTCACATATGTACAGTGATTTGTTTTCTCATGACAGAATTTTATAATGAAATGTGTTATTTCTTGAGATGTTAATGGCCTTTCAGCCTTAGAACTGTAGACATTGATGAATAATGGCAAATACATTGGATAAACATAATAATGCAAGAAGGATTAGATTCTATTTCGTCTCATAGCAATCAGGGAGATTCTCCTTCTCAAATGTTATGAATGATATCAGGGAAATGATATCAAATTTTATGAATGATATCAAGGAAAAATTAACTAATGAAAAATATAGAAAACCTCCAAGAACACCAATGTAACCTTCTTACTGCTTCAGGAGGCACCCTAACACAGATTAAAATATGAGGACTCCCGAATATGTATGGAGTCACATGATGGAGTGAGGAATCATTTTTATATAAAATATAATAATTCTGTATTCAGATAACTATGTTGCATAAGTGTATGAATTCCATATGTTTGCTATTGGCTATTCTGGACAGTTAGATACATTTTGCCAAAAGTTTCCCCAAAATAAGCACTTCCACTACCAGCAGATATCATCAGGTTTTTCCCCCCTAGGGTATTTGTCATAGATTTTCTTGCATTACTACTTGATTATGTTATTTTCTTTCCAAGAATCAAACACCAGTGAAGAGAGAGACAGTGTATATCATGCCTGCTGCTCACTAATTTACTTCCAGCTTGTACAACAGGATTAAAACAGAATTCAGCAAATAAGAGCCCAGTACATAAATGAAGAGTCAAGTGTAAGTCTTACATGGAGACAGCAGTCCATGGAGGCTGTAGATAAATTGTAACCATCTGAATGGTGCAGTTTGGACCAAAACACTGAGTAGAAATCAATATATTGTAGAACTAAAATAAGCTGCAGTCAAGCTTATGTCAAAGATGGAAATGGAGAGAAAGAAGCATATAGGTAGATAGATAGATAGATAGATAGATAGATAGAGGGACAGATAGATAGATAGTAACTCAGGAAAAAGGAAATGACAAAGGTATTGAAGGAAAGACGAAAGATCAAAATTGAGTCAGAAGATAGATTCAAGTTGCATTAAGAAAACAATTAGTCTTACATTCTTGCATCTGATAATCTGAGCAACTTTGTTGAAGATAATAATATGTAATATAACAGGGGCTGGGGATTTAGCTCAGCGGCAAAAAAAGCGCCTGGATGGCAAGCGCAACGTCGTGAGTTCGATTCCCGGTACCGGAGAAAAACCAAAAAAAAAAAAAAAAAAAAAAAAAATATGTAATATAACAAGCACTGTTAATTCCTATCATCGTGTTTTGAAATCCTATATAATTTGTATTGTTTTTGTATTATTTTGGTTTGCCTTGTTGTTATTCTTTTATTGTTTTTTTCTCCTTAAAATTGAAAAATAAAAAAAAATAATAATTCTGACATCTTGGCAGTGATTACACTATTTTGCCAAAGCGAGAACCCTGGCCAATCATATGAAAGTAGATACGCAATGACCTGCCCAAGGAGAGAAGGTTGTAGTTTTAAAGCATGGCTTTTCCCTCAGTTATTATACCGTAAGCTACCAATAAAACTGAGTTTGGGGAACTTAAAGCTGAATTTTCATTAATTTCTTCTTGTTCATTTGTCCTTTCTCCCTATGTGATGGTTATATTTCCGTATACACTTCCTTGTTTTGTAAGATTTTAATTTCATCCATAGCATTTGACTATTTCACCTTGATAATAGATTCAACTTCGCTGGTTTTCATTTTCTGTGGTTTCCAGAAATGGTGGTTGACATTCACCTAGAAATTTCTATTAATTTTATTATCTACACAGGGCATCAACCCATCCTGTCTGACTTCAGGGCTAGACTTCAATCTATAATGTCTAACTTACAGCCTCTATTCCCTAGAAAATTGGATTTTTTTTTAGCTTTCCTTGATGAAAAATCAGACAGAATGGGTCAAAGTCAAGGTAAGTTTTGTATATTTCTGATTAAAATGACAGCTTTATGATTTTAAGTTAATGGATCCAGATAACACCCTCCCTGGGTATCAATTACATGCCAGGTTATTGGACCACTGCTTTTACATATATTATTCTGCATCTTGCTTTTTTCCCATTACCTTTTATTTTAAGGAAAGAATTTTATGATATTTTCTGATTTTCTTTAGATACAATCCCTAAGACCTCTTCCATTCTGTGTGCATTTCGATATTATCGGTCACCAAGACATGACATTAATTCAATAATCCCCAGAGACCTACAAGCTGTCAACTATAAAAAGATTTCTTTTTGTAATGCAGTGTTTCAGTTTATTGCACACAACATCAAAACCTTAAGATCAGAGAGAATGCAAAACATATTTCAACTTGATATTGAAGAAGAAAAAGTATATTCTACTCCTTAAGGAACCAGAGAATACAAAGACTTATGCAAAATATGTTCTATAATCATTTCTGATTATTGAATTCCTCTGGTTAACTAAAATTGTGGCCCAGCAGTTATATTTTACTCTTGAGAGAACATTTTTGTCACTATTATTGTGAAATAAATGTTTAAAAATATATAAAAACAACATTTTACTATGGCAAAAGAAGAACTGTCAGTGGGAGCCCTAGAGACTACCTGGACAAATTCATAAGCACTACACATATTTGCACACATTTGACTGTCTAGTGAAGCAGTGCAATTATAGAGTTCCCCAAAGGAAACTCACAGATAGAATATTACTTCAAATATCTTTTTAGTTTATTTGGTTGATTATATATGACCCAGTGATAGCAGTTTTAATCTTAGTGTAAATTGAAAAGGAAAAGAAAAATCAAGTACACAGAACACCTGATATGCAATTATTGGTTCCATCTTAGCAAAAATTAATTTTTGAGAAATTACAAAATACAATTCTTGTATTCCCAGTAGTTGATTTTAATCTTACAATTTTTTTGGGGGGGCGGGTTCTGGTACCGGGAACCAAACTCACGACCTTGCGCTTGCCAGGCAGGCGATGTGCCACTGAGCTAAATCCCCAGCCCCTAATCTTACAAATTTAAGAGATGTGCCAAATTTAGAGGAAAGTCTGAGCAAATACTTATGATCAGCTCAAAACTAAACGGAAGTTACATTCAAAGTTATTTGATTTCAAAAACAGATGTGTATACCGAAGAGTTTGTTTCTTTGATTGTTTTTAAACTATGGGTTTAGAAGAAACCTTTTTTAACTACCCAGAGGATTTTATGTCATTTCTGGCTTTCATATCTCTGTTCTCTGCTATGGAGGCAGATTTTGAGAACCAAGAGACTATCTGGGGATCACACTTGGGGATCAAAAAGAACTGTCGTGATTCTTCTCTTTACCTCAAAGCTTCAGTACTATTCCAGCCCTTCCCTGAGTCAACTTATCCTATGGTTTACATTTCTTAAGAATGTAATGAACTCATAACCATAATCATAGTAATAGTAGTAATTATTAATATGATTAAGTTGTCTTTAAATATCAAATGACTTGCATGTATGCATCCATTTCATTTTCACAACAAACATACAAGGTAAATAGTAGCATCAAGCTGGCGCACAGGAAGCTTAAATAATTTGTCTGGGCTTTAAAGAGCAGAGAAAGTTTTTGTACCTAGAAAAATTGGTTCAGAGCTCACTGTTGATGCCAATACAAAAGTGCTCTTGATAGATAGATTCCTGATAGGCAGGAATGTAGAAAGTGGCATCATTTTATTACAATAAATATAACAAAGAAAAATTTGTTAGCAGTCATTTCTAAAAGAAATGTTTTCATTGTCTGTATATTGTGGACTGCATAGGCAGAGCAGAGAGAAAAGAGCTCATACTAATGCCATCTCCCTCACTGAGGACCTGTGTCTTGGATCCCTGCTCTCTCTCTTCTGGGTGAGACGTTTCTTTCAGCATGCTCAGGGTGACCCTTTACTTTAGACTTAGTTTAGTCAGCATTTTTATCAAGGGTATAAACCAGACTGAGTATATGCTGCATTATATAATCCCAGCCTCAAAAATAATATGCATAGGCATCTAAAGGCAAATTTAGGGGCTGGGGATTTAGCTCAGCGGCACAGCACCTGCCTGGCAAGCGCAAGGTCATGAGTTCGATTCCCGGTACCGGAGGGGGGAAAAAAAAAATAAAGGCAAATTTAGTAGAACCTTATGTACAGTTTTAGTTTTAGAATTATAAAATGGATTTTTAAGATACCAGACTTGAAACATAAGTCATCATGTGTATGTTTCAGTTCATGTCTCTTGCTTTCCTTCTATATAATAGAATATTTGTGTTATAGCTTTCAAATTCTCATATATCTATCATAGTTCTCATTACTGAGAATTTAATTAGTAATAAATGATAGATTAATTCATCAATAACAAATGAATATGGATGGAAAACTTTAAAATATTTTATTTTTAAAAGAATAAGTTAATTATAAGCTAAATTTTTGCTATTAATACACAAGTACCATAAAACTTTAAAACTGATTAAAATACATCATCATAAGAGTGATTTAAACTGGGAACATGGCATGTGCCTGTAATCCCAGGCTTCAGGAGGCTAATGCAGGAGTATTGCTGGGAGTTCCAGGGCAGTCTGGACTACACAGTAAGTTTCAGTTCAGCCTGAATTATATCACAAAACTCTGTCTCAAAAAAGAGAAAGCAGAGTGATTTAAAACATCACTTTATTGCAGGACAAGTGGAACATTGTGACTGTTTTCATGCATTTCACTTCCCGTAAGAGGGTGACATAACTCAAAGGTTTAACAAAACACGTTGAAATATGATGAGAGCTTTGAAATTCATGAAAAGTATGGGAATATTTAAGATATTCCATGTTCAATTCAAATATAACACTAAGAAATTGATTTTTCTATATTTTAAGGTGGCACAGAGAGATTAACTTTTGTGGTCTTACAATGAAAAATATATTTTAGAAAAGTCCATTTCCATTTTGAAAGTTATTTTATAAAAATATTAGTTATGTTTGCTACACCACTAAGTTGTGTCCTATCTAGAAGACAGCATGTCCCTGTTTGTACTGAATGACCCCCAGAGACTCCCAATTCCATATTCAAAAGGTTGTATAATTTTATGCCTGAATAATTATTTAAATCCTAATGAATTCATTCTATAGGCCCTGGCCAACTTCAGTATTTAAATGCCATGAGATGAAGACAGTGTGCAGCTGGACAAGAAAATGCAGTTAAAGATAAGAATAAAAGGAGGAAATATTGTTCACAAGATCTAGAAGGGAAAAGTTCCAAGGCTACAAAGATTTTTAAAATGTTAATGAGAGAGAAATGCCAATTACTTTGATTTGATTTGTGAATGCTGGTTGCATGTCACAAAATATAGAACTGTTTATCACTAATATATAAAATTAATATATTTTGAAATTTTTAACATGGAACTATTTTAAGTAAAAATGGGTATAAATGGTGTCACAGACAACCACATAATGATGTGATATTAAAGAGACAAGTCCTAGATATTGGACAAAAATCCCTTCTTAGATCAAAGGATGTAAAATTTTGTTAGATTAAAAGTTCAAGAACTCTATTGTAAAACATGCACTATATATGCATATTGCTAAAAGAGTCTGTTTTAAGTGTTCTTACCATGAATATAGGAGGTAATACATATGGTAATTAATTCAATTTAGTCACTTCACAATGTACAGATATTGCAGAACTACAACTCACAGACCATAAATACATACAATTTTTATTTAGAAATTAAACAATATTTTAAAGACTTTTCAGATTTCCCTTAACTAGAGACTGTTTGAGGGAAACATATAGAAGGTTTTCTAATTAGAGATGGTATTTTAAAAAGTGACAATATTCTTTAGTTTACTGGAGAATGTCATGTTTTTTCATGATAAAATGATTATATCAATTGTGGATGAGCAGAACTAACTTAAAGGAAAATTCAAAGCAGGAAATGAAGCAATAGTTACCATTGCTTTTTTGAATGTTATGCTGGGATGTCTTTGAAGAAAGAAACAGAATATATGAGGGTAAGAAGCATACAAATTAATTGAAATATGAGATTATAAAAAATATGACTTGAAATATTGGGTCTGATTTTAAAGAACTTAAATTTACTGTAGACAGATTTTAGTCAGATTATTCTACAGCGTAAATAAGGTCTTGACAAAGCACAGCAAGGATGATCAGGAAAGTTTTAAGCATTTTAATTTTGAAATTGCACGTGAAATATTTAGGATAAACATTGGCGCTTGTGTCACACTCACATTGCTGTAATAGTAAGGAAAGAATGCACTCAAGCCTTAAATATGAATAAGGAGAACAGAAAAGAAGTTTTAAAAAGACACCATTTCTCAAGAAACATGCAAAAATTGAGTGAAATTTGAAGTTTAAAGGAAAAATATGCAAAACAAGCACACAAAATGTAAGTAACCAAACAGAAGAATCAAAGTAAGGATGCTGCTGCAAATACTTGGTGAAACAAATGCACCTTTCTTGCTCTGTGTCCACAATGTTAGGATTCCTGCATTCCAGGGCACTAGGGTGAATGTGCAGAGCTTGTGAAAATGGCCAGAGGGGCATTCTAACAACGGAGGTGAAAAAGTCAGTTATTCATTATATACTATTGAAAGGGAGCAAGAGTATGCATCATTGAATTTATTCAGAAGTTGAGAATAGAATTCTGTGAATGATGATAGTAAATATAAGCTTATAGTGTCCTCAGACAAACAACCAATAGACTTCAGTTGGAAAAATAAAAACACAAGACCAGGTAGGAGCAAGCAAAATGCAATAGCGAAGGAGTAGAGGTTAGGGATTTCTGTAAGGAGAGCATGGTCGGGCATACCAAACACACAACATAAATCATTATATTTCTGCCGCCTAACTTTTTATTCTGCTGAAGCAAAGTTGTCACTTTCTCAAGGACATGTTGTAAAGCTAAAGGCATTCAAATCCTTGTGAAATGTAATTAAATACATTTAGGTAGACTATGAGGAAAACACAGAATATTTTCAAATACAAAGGGGCTGAAAATGAAAACAGTGTCACTGAGACCTGGTGAAAGTTAAGGGCTCCCTCTGGGAGCTGTAGCTATGAAAAAATCAGAGCTGTGCTCTGATTCATTAGAAAGGAAGAAAAGTAGCATATGTACTCCAAGTTCCTTTTGATCCAGACCTCAAATATTCCCTGGTCTCTTTGCTCAAATCAAAGCCACAGAGCAAAGGTGCACAGGTGATTAGATCATAAAATGCAGACACAAGGTAGACCAGGGAAAAAAGAGAAAAAATACAGACAGGCCAGTGGAGCATGATATACAAGATATTTATGAAGAATATTCAGAGACTGGTGTGGCCACACAGACCAGTGATAAAGGAGAAAAATCTAGTTAAGTGGACAGAGTGAAGTCTTACCATCTTGACGGGAAAGCTTCAGAATATTTCATTTCAAAAGATCCTTTTGACAAGTGTGAAGAAAGCAGTGTGGAGAGACAAAAAACCTAAAAAAAGGATAGACCAATTAATAGTCTATGATAGCCTCTGGGGAATCAGTTGTTAAGAAGTGGGCAGGAGTTTTGAATTATTTTGATGTGATCAAAATTTAATGCCAGATAGAGAACCCTACCCCATATAACAATATTTTAAAGTTGAATTTAAGTTTTTCTAATGAGCACGTTTTCTGACCCAGGCAACAAGATAAAGAATTCAGAGGAAAATAATGCTTCTTCCCTTCTTTGTTTTGTTTTTTTGTTTTTGGTTTTTCTCCGGTACCAGGAACCGAACTCACTACCTTGCACCTGCCAGGCAGGCGCTTTTGCCGCTGAGCTAAATCCCCAGCCCCGCTTCTTCCCTTCTTAAAGTAGGTCACAACCTAGTAGAGGAGATAGAACAAATATAGCAATAATTACAGCAAAGTGTGCATCCCTCAAATTGGAAAGGACAAAAATGTGAAACCACTCTCTAATTTCCTTTGAAGATATGTGGATGCCATCGATTTTCCAGCTACTTTGGATAGAGTTGAACCAGGTTTATAGGGAAGAGGGGCTATGAGTGGAAAGGATCATTGAAAATAAAATGTGTATTGGCTTAAATTCAAGTGTGTGATGTCAGAAGGGCCTGTACCCCCTTGGAGTACATAGATCGTAAGTGACTCAGTAAACTAAAAGAAACTTTGTCACCTGTTCTGAGGAGAGGAAATAAGAAAGGAAGAAAGGGTTGAAAACAAAATACATTTAACATCCTTGCTGTTTTAGAAATTTTTCCATTAAGTGAATTAATTACTCATTAAATTTTAAAACCAATTAAATCAGTATTTCAGATACAATGGCCTAAGATCTATGTTCTGAAGAAAGTTTCCTAGGTGTTATGGATGTTAAAGCCTAAATTTCAAAATAAGAATTCTAGTTTATTCTAAAGAATTAAGAGACATAGAAGTGCCAAAAAGGTGAACCATAGAAAAAAGAAAAGGAGAAAATAAATACAAGTTTTAAACCTTTGGGTGATTGAGTCTAGGTCAGTTGACTGTTGAGTACAGAACTGGGGTCTTTTCACTTAAAGGAGAAGGTGGGCTGGCTGACAGGTGCCTGTTGAAAGCAGAAGGAAGCACTTTTTAGGTCCAGGCAGGTGTACCAGCAGGCTGTGTGTGGCAAAAGACAGACAGTGTCTATGGGGTGCAATCAGGGTGGCACTGGCAGCTTGGAGATCTTGAACTGGCTTTATCAGCAGGAGATTGACAGTCTATCACAATTTGACAGTCTATAGACATTTTACAGTTCTGAAGCCTTTTTGTTTCTCAGGGAAGCGACAGAGAAATAGGTCTCTTTGTTTCTTTGAGATGTAGGGTGCAATTTGGTTTCATTTTTATCTCCCTAAAACCCCTTTTTCCATATAGTCAGTGACTGTGGGTTGACTAATTAATTTTCATCTCTGACTTCCTATGTGTGTTGTGTACCCTTGAATGATGGCATAACAGACAAATGATGGGTTCCCTTCAGAGAGACCATTCAGATGCCCGCCTGGCCAGGCCCAGCATGGGGATTTAGGCACAACTTAGTTAAGGAGGGTGAGGCCTCCATTATGCCACATACTGATCACTAAGAAACCACAGGTGAGGGCCCAATCAGCCACTGTGACCAGTGCTTCCCAGTCTTGGTGCACAGATGGAGCATCCTATTGCTTACAGTCTCTGGCCCATTCATTCACACACTTATTTAACAGGCACTCAGAGCTTAAACATTCCAACCTTCTTTCCTTGAGGGTGATCCTGGCAAAAGAGAGTTGATGAGACTTCCTTCTGCTGGAACTGAGCAGGGCTGAGAGATAGACTAATTGGGGTACCCCAGGGAGCTTACCAGAATCAAGCAGGCAGGCAAGCAGGCAGGCAAGCATGCAGACAGACAGACTGCATCCTCTTCCCTTTGGGATCTGATGTGAATTGCTCAAGCTGGGAGCCAGGAATCCTCCCCCGGATCTCCAAGGGCACTTGAGAAAGTTCAAGGGCATGCCTTCCCATCAAGGCCTTGCTCTGTCCACAAGGACCATGACTGATGACCAAAGAGGGCAGCGTGGTCAGTCTTCCTTGCTGGCATACCAGCATACCACATCTAAGACTTGAAAGCAGATATATTTACATTAATGGCAACTAATTGGGATCATTCCCAAAATATCAGGCCCTGATGGCTGGTGGTCTAGGGCTTATATGGGACAAGCAAGTAGGAAGTACAGAGGCAGAATGACTTGTCAGCTGGGGATTGGTTTATACAATGTGCATCATAGTGACAAGCTATGCATCATAGTGCCCAGCTGTTTCTAAGTAACAAAAGGAACAGACACTGTAACTGGAACTATTATATGGGCAACTAAAAAACTGAATTATACTGGCTGGGGAGGCATCTTCTTCTACAATATCACATAGTATATGTGAAAGGAGTTCACCACTGTATTAATACCAGGGAATCTGATGATAGACAGAGGAGAAAAATATCAAAAGTAAAGTCCAGAAGCTTTTTTTAGTCATCAGATGCAGATATAGAAAAGGATGAAGTGAATGGACAGGAAGTGGAGGGGAAGGGACATAAGTTTGGGGAGACAGTACGAGAGAGGTGACTATAAGTAGTTCTACGATAAGCAGGTTGAGTTTGGGAGTGTTATAGTACTTCCTCTTGGGGGTTACCCAGAATAGAGTCATGCATAAATCTCTAGCTGAAAGAAAAGACATTGAAAGTATAGGTACAGATCAAAGAATCATAAAATTACAAGTATACCTGAATACTTAAATGTAGATAAAATCACCTGAAAAGAACAAGGGATAGAGGCAACACTTAGAGGCACAGACTTTAAGAAGAGAGATGCTTAGAAGGATAAATAATGTGTGGCTTTAGAAATCAGGCAAGTTTGATTTCACAGAAATTAAAGACAGGAGAGCATTTAAGTAATGGGTGGTGAAGTTAACATATTTACTTTAAAAACAAAACACAAATTTGAGTTGTAACTGAATAGGAAAGATAAAAAAAATGAGGCAAACCTTCCAAGGTTGGCACCATTGATATCTTGGGAGGACCTTGTTTATACCAGATAGAGTCATCTCCTGAATCATTTAAAATTTAGATGTAGACCCCCATAAGATCAATTTTAAGTAAGCTGAGGACAAAAAGGTGGATAATTCATTTTGATGACAACATCCACAATTGCACCATTTTAATGTGGTTAATATACCTATCTCCATGCCTTTCATTATTTAGTGGAAGAATAAAAAGAATAGATCCAAAATGCTAGGGTAATGGGAAGTTAATGTTATTCTTTTGAGACATATAGCATAATGTTTTCATATATGTTGTTGTAGCTTGGGGTTTTGAAAGGGGAACAGTATAATATAGAACACTTAATTTTATGATTATTTTATAATAATCACCCAAAGAGTCATATACAAAAAGAGTGCAGGAAATCTGTCCACACACTAAAGACCAAAGAATCCAGTTGAGGGCCTGGATCCCATGGTAATGTCTGCATGAGTCCAGCTGAAGACCTACAGCTCATAACAATGCCCCCACGGAAGTCCAACTGAAGGCCAACAGCCCACAACAATGCCTAATGCAGGCTTGTTTCAGGGATCTGTGCTAGCAGGTTGAAGGATCTGCACTGGAGCTAGGAAGCGACATTCAGAGTAAGGACAAGAGCTTCCCCCAAAACTACTTCAGACATCTTCAGCAACAGTGAAGTCTGGAGCTCCTCTGATGATGAGGAAAGCCGAGTTCCCATCAGAAAAGCCAATGTGACAAACTTCTCCAGGAGACTGAGCTATGAATCATATTTCTCTCTGGAGCCAGGAACGATGCTCAAAGTGAGGACCAGAGCTCCTCCAAAGTGAACCATAGTCATTCTCAGTGACAACAAGGTGTCAAGCTCCTTTGTCAAGAACAGTGAGTTCGTCAACAAAATGAGCATGTATCATTTTTATTGTTTTTGTGTTGTTTTGTTTTTGTTCTTCTCTCTTTAAAATTAAAAAAGAAAATTTAAAAAGACAGCAAGACAATCTCCTCCAGAAAAACCAACAGTTCCCTACAGCTTCCCTAACAGCACCCAGCAGCTTCTCTTCTTCTCTGCTTCTGCTTCTTATGCAGCCAGCAGTAATAGTTCCCAGGTGGACCTCCTACACCCAGCACTATGCTGACTCGGTTCACCCGGGCGTTACAAGTTGACCACCAGTTGCCAATCCACCACACATCTATACATAATAAAATGATTAATTTATTCAAACAAATTAACATATCCTCTGCCTCACATAGTTATTCCTTTTAACTTTTAGCAATAACACCTAAAAATACTATTGAAAAATGCTAAATACAATATTATTTACTATAGCCTTTGTGTTATGTATTAGTTCTCTAGACTTATTCATCTTACATTTGTGAAATTGGCTTTTGACGTATATCTTCCATTTTTCTCCTACATTCTCATGTCCCTTATAATGTTAGTTTTCTTATATGTACATTCAACTTTTTTGTATGTCTTGAGAAATGTTTTGGGATAATATACTAGGCACTGGATATTTAAAATGGTAGTAACAAGTTTCACTTCCCTAGGGAGCAGAGTAATAATGCATTTTTTTACTGTGGAAAAGCAAATTAAATTAATTTTGCAACAAACATTTCCAATTAAAATCTGAAATATGACATATTTTTCATTAATGGCAAGCTCCTCTAAAGCTTCTTGGAAGAGATTTAAACTTTTGTCACGTGAATCTATGTCTTCGTTAATTTTCTCTTGTTGCTGAGACAAAATATATGATGCCCAAAATTAAGGAAGTAAAGGTTTATTTAGCTCACCATTTGTGGAAGTTTCAGTCCATACTTGGCTGGCTCCAACGCAGCGTGGCACGTGGCAGAGGGCAACAGTTCATGGCTGAAGAAAAGAGCAAAAGCAGCAAGTGCAAAAAGCGAGGAGCCAGGGCAAGCAGCCTCTTTCCGTCTCTTACATTGTATGCAAACTATCCGCACTGGGAGCGGGGGTGGGGTGGTGGGCGGAGCATGTAGCACTCACATCCATAATTCCAACATTGAACCATGTATCAATCATAACTCTAGAATCCTGCACCATGACTGCATGAGGCTTTGGGGAGACATTCAGAAACAAACTATAGTGATCTACTAATAAATGAAGAGGACAATTACCTCGTACAAGTCAAAATATTGATATTTGCAGAAAGAATTCCTTTGAAATCAACGAAGAACATTTTTTGAGAAAAAATTAGCAATTACTGAAATATCATGCTAGTCATGTATCTGACAACAATGGGATATCTACTTATATTTTCTTATCGTTTTAGTCACTTTCAACCAGAAATATATGTTTTCAGTCTAGGCTGGTCACCTGATATTAAGAATTTTTAGGTATGTATAGCAATCTTGTGTTAACTCATTGTATTTTATAATAATTTTTTTACCTGCTTTATATGTTACCACATTAAAATAAAACGACTGTGACTGTTAGATGCAAAAGTCCTGCATTAATTCATATAAATTTATGTTTAGAATATCAAAGTCAAAATGTATAAATTAAATATTCATTTGTCTGCTTTGAAATAAAAGAATACTAAATGCTGAACTATTATGTGACAATAGCCTGGAAAGTTCTTCATGTACTTTGAATAAAATTCAAGTTCTATGTGATAACATACAACAAAGTACTTTCAGGTACTATTGTTAGGATACGGTGCTTGCACACTCATTTTTATATCTTCTGCATTCTTGGATACAGGATATTTCCAAATTCTAGAGAAGAATCCGAATAGAGTAATAATTACAAAATGAAACAAAATTGAAAAGATAATTGAGCAATTTATTCTCAGCAACTAGCTTTTTTCGTTAACAAACAGAAAGTGAATTAAAGTACTTCCTTGCTTTTAAAATAATATAAGATTTGAGTGTATGCACTATGTATATGCCACACAGAAAAAAAAATTACCTTTGGGAGACTACAGTAGTTAAATTTCTAAGATTTATTGCTTAACCTCAGGAAGGCTTGCTGTAACTTTATATAAAATGTATACATTTAATGGAAGGCATGCTATGCTTCTCATAAGAATTTGTTCCAAGTCACTGTGCATAATTAATGGCTTGTCTACATATTTTTTCAATAAAAGTACTCATGTGGAATTTTAAGTAGGCACTTTTCAATACCAGATGAATGTATCTTTGTGAAGATACCATTTATCCACCATAACATCATTCGCATAATGAAGAGAGACTGCTACACTACAGATTTAGAACAGAGTTTGAAAACAAAGCTCCAAGATGCTGTCTTGGACAGCACAAAGTAAATACATTCATCACAGCAAGCTGAGATTTAAGTTCACAAACTTATCAGCAGTGAAATTAAAGTAATTTTTTACAAGTTTCTTCACAGTAGATTACACTAGCTAGAATATTTATTTTCTTACCAGGGAATTGATACATTCAAAACTGAATTAGAGAGTTTTGCCTTTTAATTAGATATACTGTACCATATGCAAGGAGTCATCTTTTCCTCTTCCAGCCAGTCTTACAAAAATAACTTCTAAAATTTAAAAATCGAAAAGGGTAGAAAATTTCAGATATTCTTTTAATTTAACTTTGGTTTTTATACTTTGAAAAATTAGCCAAATATCATTTTTCTTCATCAACAAACAAGCAAGCATAAGGAAAAGCTGTTCTATTTTTACATTATCTGAGAGAAATGACAGAGGCTCAGAGTTCCAAAGGGTTCAGGAAATGCTAACCTGAAAATACATAACTTGGGAATACTAATTATTTCTAACTGCAAGCATTTGAGAAGCAGCAAATCCTGGGAGAAGAATTCTCTGAAGTCCCTTTATCCACCTAGAGACAGATCTTCCACTTACTTGGTATCAGTTGCTTGCCCAGGATGTCAACCAGAGGTGAACTGGTACCATGGTGGAATAGGCTAGAAGTCAATTGTTGACTTTGTCACAGACATTACCTGCAATTCTAAAGAGTTGTTCATCTTTCCCAAGGCTAATTTCTTGTCCTTTACATTGCCTTCATCCTTTCTCTTTTTTCTCAATGAAGAGAGTATAGGAGCTCCTAAATCTCACTGGGTTCTTGATCATTAGCTTTCTTTCCTGTGATTTCCCCATGCACATAACACATGTGTACATCTTTTCTCCTGTCGATCTGCCGGTTCTTCCTTGATTCCATTGGCTCAGTTATCAAACC